TTTTTTTTGTTTTGCCATGGAAAGGACTCTATGTTCTTCAAAACTATTTAGCATTTAGACATGGCATTTGGAAAAGTCAGAGGGAGGGGAGGAAGCTATGCAAGCAGTTGACTTTTTTGCAGCACACAAACTGCTGTGTTCTTCCATCCTTTGTACCTGCACTAGCTGACAGGATCCAGAGCTGCTGCTTGGTCACTGCTCATTGTTGTAGCACTGTTCAGTTGAATAATGAAAGCTGTGTAGGTAGGTTTATTCCATGCTTGCTCTGCAGCAGCCCAAGAGTTTATTTAGATGCTTTTCTAGAACGCTGGTGACAATCCTGGGGCTACATCTTAACAGCTGAAGATCTGTAATATTACCACTTAGAAATGCAGTGTGACATTGTTTGAATCAGAAAAGGAGAAGAGGGAGGAGTATTATTAAATGCTTCCTCAACACAGGAAGCTCAGGATCAGAAACTCAGGGGGTGAGAAAAGCTAACAGTAGCAGGCACTTACTGTTTGAGTCCATATGTCAATTCATGCGCATAGAACAGCAGAGATTCTCCGAACCAGCCAGGCCCTTGAGGCAACAACAACCATCCCAACGTGTCACTTACCATGTACAATAGCTGGGACTGAGAGTCAGGAAAGGGTGGAAGAAGAAATACTTAATTAAAGAATAACGCCACACAAGATCAAAAATAGGTCATGAATAAGCTCAGACTGGAAATTAGGTTTCTAACCAGGAGAGGAGTGAGGTCGTGGAAAAACCTCCCAAACAGATTAGTACAGGCAAGGAACCTGCATTGTTTCAAGATGGACTTGGAGAAGACCATGAAAGAGAGCATACGGCAGGAGTTAGAAATTAAGAACCACGATACAGAGCATTTGTTCCTATCTGCAGGCTTCTTGTATAAAGTGTGAACACCACCACATCAGTGACAGTTCTGTACCTCAGTGTATCACTTGCAGGAGCTGAGAAGGAATTCCTTCCCACGGCAACCTTCCCTTAACTCCTATCTTGGCTTCTAATTTTTTTTTTTTTTTTTTTTCAATTTCCTTCCAGAATTTTTAAGAACTGCTACAGCTAAAAAAAGCCAAACACCCTGTGCCCCCAGACAGTACACTAAGGAACTTCACATCAGAAAACCTGTTAGCTGTTTCACTTTTATGCTCAGGGTTAAATCAACAATTAGATTTAATATAAAAAACTGGAGTTTTCCTGCAAGTCAAGTTACTAGGGTCCTCTAAAACACAGGGCTTGCACCCTTCCTTGAGTCATCTGCTTATTTTCATCTTAGTTGCTGCAATGGTAGAGAGTTATGACAAAAATATACCCCTTCTTTTGCTATCTTCTTAAGATGTAAGGTAGTTCTTGGTGATTTTGGCCTCATGCTAAAGATCTATCTTTGTCACACACTGTTAAAGGGTCTTTTGGGGGAAATAGGTGCCCTACAGACCCTTTTAGAGAATCATCTGCTTATAATTGGCAACAGTTCCTACACACTTCTAAGTCACTTATTTTTCCAGGTTCTAATTTTTAATATATTAGACTAGTTTTGTTGTGTAAAAGTTGTTTTAAATGGTCACAGAGTGGTCTGTGTTCTCACAGTAAGAATGACTACTTTGTATGAGAAAGTTGCAACAGGAAGCAAACAACAAACAAAAAAATTCCAGCAGCTCCTTTTGCAAGTCTTTCAGTAACATAGCAGCAGCTCATGGGAACCTAGAAAAAGATAAAAAGTAACTAGATTAAACTGGACTAGTCAGAAGCTGAATATGAAGAAACACTCCAGCCTTCAATGGGTGGACTGGACTCCAGAAAGAAGTTGGAGAGCTTCTGCCCTATAGACACCTAGAAAGGTAACCCCTTGGCACGCCCTAGGAAAGCATGAAGGTCCCAGAAAGGGTCAGTGCTGCACTGTGCTAGCCAGGTATAAGAGAGTACAAACCACTGCCTGTCTTGTAATATTAACTCCATTTCCCTTGCACTGTGTTTCATTGACTGTTTAGTGGACCCTAAAAGTCAGCAGAGTACAAATGGTGACTGGGGTAGATGCACACAGAAAAGCTTTTGATACTGTAAAATAAATCCGTCTGTTGGGGACTTCTCTTAAGTGACAGGCAAACAGCTAATGCTGAGATTGAAACTGTAGATTAAACAAAAGTTATTGAAATTAAATTACCAGGCTTTATTTGTTATCTTTGTTTCGGAGCTAACCGTGAGCAGTTCACCCCTCTTTGCTGAGCTATTGTTTCAGGTCAAGGCAGACAGCAGTATCCAGAAAGTCTCTGGTAACTGGTTTAAAACTTAGCAACAGTTTAGCCAAAGCGTCAGGCTCAGCACAGAGGTGGACCCTGCCTCTTTGCTGTCATGGTTAGCGTTGCCCTGGCACTACTCAGGCTGTTATTCATGCCAGCTCAGCTTTCTCTTCTGCTACTGCAGCACAATCCCCCTCTCAGAGACATGCTGCATTTTCAGTATCCAAATCTCTGGTGAATTTTAAGTCTTTAACCCAGCTCTGCCTCTCAAGACATTTCACAATTTACTAAAAACCCTGATAAAAAGTTAGAAGTGACAGGCATTAAGTACAGTGTGCAGGAACAGCTGGCCGAGCAGGTGTCAGGCAGGTTCTCACTTCTGTAGGCTTTAATGCTCAGCAGAAGCTGTTCTGAGAGAAACAGGTACTTCTTCCCTTTGAGCCTCTCTCTTCCTGTTACTCATTTCCCACTTGGCACTCAAACTGTTGAAATAAACACACACACAAAAGCCACCTGACGTCACTAGGAGGAGATGCAGCAGCAAGAGAAGAGTTGTTTTGTTGTTTGTTTGTTTGTTTTCTTTAATGAAGGGACACAGAACCTGACCTCTTTTCCCCATGGTAAAGAACCTGCAAGCCCCTCAGCCCTCCTTCTGTAAGCAAAAGAAATAATCAAACAACAGAATGCCATGAAGCCAGCTGACTACATGCATATTTCCCCTTCCTCTCTTGGGGGCGGAAGGGGGAAATAAAAAGACTCCAAACACAGGAGATGAGTTTAAACATTTATTTAAACAGAAACTCCAAACCACTACACCCTTTAACCTTTCAAAAAAAGACAATGACAAACTAGTTTTCAGCCAGAGTGTCAGAGCAGGCATAAGTTGTGTTCCACTATAACAACTCAGTAGCAATACTAGCAGGAGACCAACACATACGGAGCTAGCACTGCAAGAAGGGGAGAAGTAAAAAGGGTTTAAAACTGCTCAAAGGCACTTCTGCCCACTTGCCCTTCCACTTTCAGCCCAAGACGAAGGTGCTGGCTTTAAACTGCTTTTTTTGGTTGCATAGCTGGCTGGTGTGAAATCTGTGGTCTGTAACAGGCACAACCTGGATAGCGTGAATCCTCTAAGGCACATATGAGGTTGCAGAGCACAGGGCATCCTCTGTCAGGGACCCTAATCCTCCACTAGATCCAAGGGGAATCCAGTCTGTGCACCTAGCTTCCCAACTGCAGAGCATTGAGAAATGAGGACAGCAGTGCACTGCAGGAGAGCGACTCCCATCAGCTTGGTGCTTGCTTATTGGACATGGCTCAGGCTCGACTCTTCACTCCTCAAAGGCACTGCCGCAACGTGACCAACTCAATCATTCCCAACTGCAACAACTCTCAAGCCGGGACCCTAACCTGAGAACTGGCTCCAACGCACGTGGGGGAAAGGAGAGCAGAGTCACAAGGGCAACCAAGCAACGTGGCCACGCCAGGGTGCCTGACGCTCACCACCTCCCAGGAGGGCTGTCCTCCTAGCCTGCCTTCGGTAACGATGGACGGGCACACCGGTACGATCCTTGCCCTGGACACTGCACACTGGTATGATCCTTGCCCTGGACACTGCACTGGAGAGACTGCACTTGATTCAGCTCCAAGATACTAGCAATAGGCACCAAAGAAGTATTTAAGGAGCATAAGTTACAAGCAGAATGGTTTGGCATCCTCCTCTAGAGACAAATGGGGAATGCTGGCTCCCCTGGAACAGTCTCTCAAAAGAAGTCTAGGAGAGGTGATAGGATATCCAACTCCAATAGACCTAAGGCAATTCTAGTGACATGCCATTGATGGGGATGGTTTAAGCCTAATGAAATCAGAACCCCACTCTCACAGCAAAGGTGAGAGGGACTCGGGACTCCTTAGAGGCTTCACGTAAGGCAGGGGAGGCTAGCTGCTCCCAGGGACCCTACCAATCCCAAAAGCTTAGTTCAAAGTCAGTTTGCTAATAAATTTAAGGGGAATAAAATTAACCTCATTCTCTAACAGGAAATGAGGAAATCTGGAGCATCAGACCATGCCTCTTCCCATCTCCAATTTTCTTGGGAAAGCCTCTCACTTCTAGAAAGAAGGTGAATTCCGGAAGGAGACTTGATCATAGTCACTGGGGAAGACTGCATCCTGTGACCACGGCATTAATGACCTATTCTGGGTAGGAAACTGCATTCCAGCTTCATCAAAACACTGAGTGGAAAAAACACTTATTCTTCCCACACCCACACAGAGCGTGGGCACCAGGGGCTGAGCAGAACAGAAGCCAAGCAGGGAGCAGCTACGGGCTTATGCCAAGAAACCAGAAGCTCTGGCACCCAAACCAAGCTGAACAGCTGGAGCAAGAAATGGGTGACAGTCTGAGGCCCGGATGCTCATCATCTGGTTGGGAAGCAGGTGGTCTGAAACTGAGAACCTGAGATCCCATCTCAGACAGTCTCCACTACTGCTATTGGAAACAACACCTGATTCACTCATCTCGGTGCATTGCCTGGAAGTTGGAAAGCTCTAGGCACCCAGAATAAAGCCTTTAAACTCTGTCTATACAGGCCACTGGACACAGCCATATGGCCACAAGCTGTGCCTCGAGGCCAGGGACATGCTGTCTACCATTATCTCCCTAACAGGAAGATCTCCACTGACTCAGAATGAGACATTCTCTGCTCCCTCTGCCCCTGAGCAGAGGGGAGCAGCCTCACCAGCTGGGCCTTACCATGTGGTAGGGAGAGGATCCTAGTCCTTCACCCCTCTGAAGTGAAGGTGGCGAGTCTTAGGGTTCGGCCAGCTTCAGCACAAAACATGTCTCCTCCTCTCATCTAGAGATGCAGTGATGAATACTGGGGTCCCAAAGGCAGCTCCCAAGAAGCAGTGAAACAATGAAAGGGCCACAAGTTGCTACTGGAGCCATTGCCGTAATGGGGCCGTTCTGCCTCACGTGCAGAATTGACAGATAAGGTACAAAGAGGAGCTGCTGCTGCTTCAATCACTGAGCTGGCCTAGAGCTCAGGGGCCCTTACCCTCTCAAACTTACTCCTAGTTCATATCAAACGTACATGGGTGCTGCTCTGGAGCCTCCGGCCTCGCTCCTTGTCTGCGAGTGACCTGAAGCCAGGAAAGCCGCTCTCTGCATTCGGTTAGTGTGCTGTGAAGTTAGATGGATCCCAGTGGGCTCAGGAGACTAGAGACTGGAGCGGCACGAGTCCGTTCCCAGGAGACACCAGGAATCTGAATCCAAATCAGGTTTCGGATCCACTTCCATCTCCTCTTTGGCTGTCTGTGTTCCTTTGGTATGAACCTCCACCTGCCAAAACACACAGCAGTTACCCAAACAGCTCTAGGACTAACTGCAAAGAAGCTAGGAGCCACACAAGGCACAGTTTGTATTCTCCGCAACCATTTGGGACTCTCCTCAACATCTGACTGCCTATCCCTTCTCACCAGGAGAAATAAAGGGGAATCCCAGGTCCCTCAAGGACAGGGCTGTCTTAACAGGAAACTCTCTTCTTGACTTCATTCCTGTTGCTACTACCAGAGCCTGCATCAGCAGCTCAAACAAGAGACAGGCACCATGCTCAGTCCCCCGATCCTGCTCCCAGAGAGACACCTGTTAAGAGCTGCTTCCTTCTGCGCAGCCTCCACAATCTACGCAGGAGCCAGGATCAGTGTAGTGAGCTCTGAGCATGGATGTGCACCCAGGTGATAGGTCCTCACCTGCTGCATTCCTTCCGTCCCCCTGCAAAACTGCTGGAGTTGGGCACTCAGACGAATGGTTTCCTGCTGCAGCTTCTTCTGATCATCCAGACACTGTAAAACCAGGCCTCGGAGGTGTGTCACCTCCACTTGCAGAGCACTGCACATGCAGCCCGCAACAGGAGACGCAGCCTTCCCTTCACCGCACGGCAAGGTTGGACTCAGGCAAGTAGGCTGCAGGGACACAGAGCGAAGCCAGGCCACGTTCGAGTGCAAGGCCAGGAGTTGTATATGCCACAAGAAATGATGCACAGAAAGCGTCACCCCAGCTCGTTTCCCGACTTCCCAAACTTCTAGCAGCCAAGGTCAGCAAGCTACTAGTCATTACGTCTTCAGTACAAAGCCACTAACTTCCTCCTTTTTCTGGGAAAGCTGCTCCTGTCCTCCTATCACCAAAATGCATCTGGTTTACCCCCCTTTCCCTAAGCCTGGGATCTGTGCCTCCTCTTGGGACAGAAAACTCCTGGAACAAGGTAGTCTCACAGGTTGTAATTTCTCAGTGACTTCCAGTATCACTACTTCTCCTATCTCACAGCAATTTCTGCTTTCTAAATTTCAAGGTTCTGCTACGCTTCTCTTTTTTTTGCCAACTGCATTAACCACATTTTTCCACGGAACTGATGTCATTATTTTCAATCTGACCAAGCCCCAGCTTTGTGTTCTAGATTCCTGTGAAGTGTTCTCTTTGCAGCATCATCTCTGACTATCAACAGCCCTCTTTTCCTCATCCAGATGAATTAGGCCAATCCAACACCCTCTTTTCAGCTCTCCCCATAATTCAAACATTGCCATTTATGGTCCCCAAGAGCTTTTGGCCAAGCATTCACTTGGATAACATTACCCAGGGCTCCGTTTTGGGCTTGTTTAATCCAACAGGCTCCTCAGAGGCCACTTTGAGTCCTTGAAGTTTCTGGTAAGGGAGAGTCTCCTTCTCGGGCTCTGAAGATGCCATGCTCAGAGGAAAGGGGCTGTCAGGCATGGGGATGAATTCGGCATTCTCCAGCTCCTGGATACACAAAAGCAGCACTGTCAGGCCTGCCTGCCTTCCTGCAGCTGACTTCATCTCCTCAACCAATGCACCAACACCCTCTTGTGGTAGAAAAGGCAGTGAGGCCTGAAGGGCTCCCCTCGCAGCACAGCTCTGAAAACCTTTCGGAGCATCCCTTAAAGGTGGAAGGGGCCACTTGCTTTTCCCCAGCCTAGATCCCCATTTTAAGGCATTTCTGAGGCATCACATTACCTTCCGCAGCCAGCCAGGGCAGGAGCTGCTGTCAGCACTGTTGCCTCCCTTAGCTTCTGTGGTGCTGATCCAGCCCCCCAACTCACGATCTGCTTCCATGGTTCCCCGAAAGCCTCCACTGGGATTGGGGGTCTCTGCTTCCTGTTCATTATCCTCTTCCTCTCCTCCTCCAGTTGTACAGCTCTGAGCCACTAGCAAACAAGAGTGAAAACTATACTTTCGCTACCTCTGCTATTCCTGTTGCCAAGCCCCAGCTGGAGCAGAGAAGATGCAGCAATTTGGGCCGTACGGCCACAGTGAGAGCACGTGCTAGCGGCATCT